AAAGTTTTATAGGCTTCTAGAAAAGCAATTTATGAGATGAAATGACACATTAATTGAAGTTTTAAATTTGAAAATTGTTATCTAAAGGTGAAAATAAAAGTTTGTGTCACGCTTTGCAATTAATCTTTACTAGGCTCACTGGATTATAAGGTTCGCTCCTGCGTTGCTCGCCCCAAAAACTTCCAGCTCGCCCGTAAAGATTTATTTACAAAGCTTGACACGTAAATAACTATTAAAGGCGTGTCAACAAACGATAATTTAATTAGGTACATATTTTATAATTAAAATTATTTTACAACAAAAACTGTTGTAGGTACCTCACTCTCAAGTTAGGTATACCTATACATATATGTTTATATATTAGGTAATATATTTTTGTTATTCCTAATAAGGGAATTATTTTTAAAAACCTGTAAAAAATTTTGAATTTTTTACAATTATATATATAAACTCCTGGACAAAATTAACGCAACATCATAAATTTGTCACATTTTGTATGCTATTTTTTTGTTGAATTTATGATCCGATTTGAATGATTTTTTTTTTGCATTGTAGGTTGGTGCCTTGACAATGTCATAATTTTCGCTGTTTATGATAAAAAGTTCATTTTCGATTTATATCGGGTGTAATAAAAATGTAATGTTTTTTTCCGAAATTTTGTATCACCCTGTGGAGTATACTAGCAACCGAAACCTATAGCAGTTAACATTAGACGGTAGGTCCATATTTCGCCAACATATTCTTTTTTGGTTTACTTCATTATCTCTGTTATTAAAGGAGATACGCTGTTTTATAGCGTAACATGTTTTTATAGACTTTATTATTCAAAACATTAATTGTTAAATTTTTTCAAGGAGGCTATGAAAAATTCGCCATACTTATAACAACTGTTCGAAAACTGCTTATTAAACGTTCGTTTCGTATTTTAATCTTGAAAAATGAATCGTTGCTAATGTGATAGGAAGACATCGTAAGTAGTATGGTTGAACGATTTAAAGAGACAGGATCTTACTCTTCAAGGTCAGGACAAGGGCGAAAACGATGTACCGATCCAGGGGATGAGCGTTTTATTAGGCAAACTGCTCTAGAAACAGGAAACTAGTACTAGGCTAAAAAGTGAGCTTAGAAATGACCGGCAAAGAAACAATTACTTACCAGAGAGCACAGAGTTTCAAGATTGCGTTTTTCCAGAAATTATCAACATTGGACTGTTAATAATTGGAAGAAGGTTTTATTTTCTGATGAAAAAAGAGTTAGTTTAAATTCTCCTAATGGTGTGAACGTGTTTGGCGAAGGTCAGGAGAGAGATTTGCAAGTGGCAATATCTCTCCTAAAATCCCGTTTGGTGGAGGCTCTGTAATGTTTTGGGGAGGAATATGCTTTAACGGACGCACAGAGTTAGTCCCTATACGTGTAAGATCGATGAACGCCGATTATTATCTAGAAAACATTGTAATTGAACATGTAATGCCATTTGTTCTTTTTTTGGGACCGAATAGTTTATTTATGCAGGATTATGCATTTATCAAAGCGAGCAAAAATTATACAATTATACAGATAACAAATAATCTAAACATCTCTTGAAATGTCAGAAAAGGTCCATAGTCTACTTGAAAACATTTAACAATGATTGTTTTGAATAATAAAGTCTATAAAACATGTTACGGTATAAAACAGCGTATCTCCTTTAATAACAGAGATAATGAAGTAACCCAAAAAAGAAAACGTTGGTTAAAGATGGACCTACCTTCTAATGGTAACTGCTATATATTTCGGTTGCTAGTATACTCCACAGGGTGATACGAATTTTCGGAAAAAAACATTACATTTTTATTACACCCGGTATAAATCGAAAATGAACTTTTTATCATAAACAGCGAAAATTATGACATTGCAAGGAACCATCCTACAATGCAAAAAAAAATCATTCAAATCGGATCATAAATTCAACAAAAAAATAGCATAAAAAATGTGGCAAATTTATGATGTTGCGTTAATTTTGTCCAGGAGTTTATATATATAACTTTTAGGTAATATTATTATAGTCTTTACAAAAAAACAAAAGCAAAACCTCGAGCAAAACAAAAATATAACTTTAAATTAACGACCAAGAACACAGAGTTCTTGTCAACGACATTAAAAACGTTTTTTTAATTTTCCACTTTATTCACTGGCAATCCTAGGTAATTTGGTTGGATAGTGTAAAAAAAATCGCTGCGACTTGTTGGCGCGACAGAATCGCTTGCGAGAAGTTGCAAAGTAGCTTAATCAATTCTTGTATTTTACTCTAAGAATAGTCTTAAGTTGTAACAAAAGTCTTCAGATTAAATGTTAATAATAAATTCTATAAATTAAAGGAGCGAAGCATAATTGTTTACCAGTTTCCTGATGCAATTAAATTAGGAGTTAAATTAAATTTGATTTTTTTTTGAAAAAGACATTAAATGAAATAAATTTTATTTTAATTTATGAATTAATGGTTTTTAAGGTATTCTCGGGTATTGTAGTATTGGTTTTTGTAATAAAACACCTAGTTTAGTTTCACTGTATTTATTGAATGCTTCACTTTCTAAGAATAACTGCTTTAATACACGATCATCATATATGTTTAATCCTCGTATTAGTAATGAATCACATAGTACACTACAGGCATTCAGCGCTGGATTTACACTAGGAGCAGTCAGGGCTAGTGCCCAGGGCGGCAAATATTCTAGAGCGGACATTTTTTTTTCTACTACCTTACTAAAAAAATTAATTTTCCACCCCCGAGCGAGGGAGGAAAATTTTCCTCCCTCTTTTTTTGAAACAATTTTACATTAGCAAGAGTTTTTGTACCTTGTCTAGCCCTATTTGATTTTGTAGGAAAAAGATTTACTCCGCGTCCAAACATTCTTTTAACAAACTATATTCATTTTTATATCGCTCTTTCGATTTTTAAGGAAGGAAATTAATTGCAACTATTCTTGCCTCTGCGGCAGGTCTTCTTCGCTAGAACTCATTTTCAAAACTTCAATTTCAATTCAATTTCAATTTTATGATAAATATTCTGACAGCTTATAAAAACTGTTATGTTTGTATTACCAAAAATACCATAGCAGCAAAGCGTTGTCAACATAACGTCGGGAACGCAACACCTACTTAATATTTTTTCATAATTTTATAGCCCCATACCGGGTTAGTAAAAGGAACCGGAACGCTTAAAATGTCTTAAAACCGTTAAAAGGGAATAGAAAAAACTATATACATACCTCAGGAGGAAAATGCGTTTCCTCCCTGGAATATTTAATGCCCTTCGCTTTGCGTCGGACATCAAACTATTCGCGGGAGGAAAAACCCTTTTTTCCTCCCATGGTATGTAAATAGCTATTTAATGTTATTAAAATTGCTCAATATAATTAGTTAATTACTATTTAAAAAAAATAAAAAATGTTTAACCTTAAAAAGATTAAATATCATGTATTGTGTTGCATTGCTATTAAGAATAAAAAAATTCACTTACTGCCCATTTCACTTAAAAAATAACAAACTTATTAACAACAACTGTCATAATTTAATGGTAAGTACAGCGTATCGCGCAATCTCTGTGACAAAATTTAAATTTCAACAGTGCCCAGGGGCGGCACTAAGTTTAAATCCGGCCCTGCAGGTATTACAATTTAAATTAATAATTATAAGCCACAAACAAAATTAAAAAGGCCACTTTTTCAGAGACGATTGCACTCCATCGCGATGGATAAAAATGTGATGTAAAATAGCACCTAATCCGGCAAATTTTATAAAATTCTATAAAAAAGCAGAATGTTTAAGGCTAGAAAAAAGCAAAAACTTACTTTAAAATCCTTTCCACCTAAAAATTGCCTAATCTGGTACGTCCGAAGCGGGATTTAGGCTTTTTGAACTTTTGTAAATTAATTCAATTTTTCCAATTTAACATAATTTACGAAGTACCTACATCACTACATAGTTACCTCCAATCCCTTCTCCTCTATACCCTACTGGGCGTATAGCATCGGCTCGACGAACCCGAGAATGGCTATTAAAACTATTCGCATGTCGCTCTCGAGCCCTAAATAGGGGACAGTACGGCAGGCCCGGATCTAGAAGTTTTTAAATGGGGGGCAAAAGTCAAATTTGCCGCCCCCTTTGAATTTTTTAAAACAATGATGATAAACCAATTATTTTTTATTGCATTTTGGAGATTATTCAAATAAAACTCAATTGTAAGATTTAACAAATAAAAAGTACACTTTATTTTAATATACCTACACAACATTAAAAACAAATTTTGCGTGCTTTTTATTTCTGAAAAGCATCTACAATCTCAAAATTTATTGATTGTGCAAAGGTATTTTCAATTGCCAATATTGCAAGTCCTGATAATCTTTCGTTGCTCATAGAAGAACGCAAATATTTTTTTATTAGCTTTAACTTGCTTAAACTTCTTTCATAACTGGCGGAAGTTGTTGGGAGTGTACAATATATGCAACAAATATATACAACGCAATACAAATATTTGGAAATGCTTCTTCCAAATTATTTGCATAAATCCTCGGCAACAAACTTAAACCACTTATTTCTGTAGTTATATTGGCATTTTTAAATATATTTAAAAATTGGTCCTGAAAGACAACCAGCTCCTGACAAAAATCTGGCATTTAAATCTTTGCTGTATTTTAAAGCAAGATCGAGACCATGTTTTTTCAGTTTTTTAGTTACCAGTCTGTCAAATACTAAATTTAGATCTTTCGTAAAATTCTGATCTACAGTTAACATCCTTGATTCATCTTCTGAACCCTCATCAAATATTCTTTTTCTTTTGGGTACACGTTGGATAGCAAAACAGGTTCCATATTAATTTTTTCTTCAATCGGTGTCTTCCGCATTCGATTTAATGTTCGAATTAGCCCATCCATTAGGTCAATCGAATTTAGGTTTTTCCAATAATCCAACAATATCTATAAGGTTGTTGGTAAGAGCTGTTACGGCCTGATACTTTGCAGACCACCTGGTTTGGCTAGAGCCTGCAGCTTTGTCTTGGTGCATTCCTTTAAAAGACACCATCGACTTGTCGAAAAAGTTAAAAATTGACTGGACCACTCCAAACAATTTTACTGCTTCTGTAGAGGCTAACGCGGCATGCATAACCACAAGGTTTAACGAATGCGCAATACAAGGCACTAATTCGGCCAGTTCATTCTGTTGCAAAATTCTTGCTTCAACGCCTTTACGCCATGTTTAGCCAGTATCATAAGATTGGCCACGGCACTGCTGAATATCTAACCCATCGTTTCTCAACTTCTCCAGAATTTTACTGGTCAAATATTCGTGTCTTTCCCTCTACCTCGATAAAGTCAATGAAGGTTTCTTTAATTGAACAACTTTCAGTATCAATTTCGACATACCGAATTACTTGACTCATTTGCTCGTGTGAGGTGTACAGTCAAACATGATGGTAAAATATTTTGCTTCCTTAATTTTTTGGAAAAGTTGGTCTCTGCACGCGTTACCCAATAGCTCGATAACCTCGTTTTGTATGGCGAATTACACCCGTACTATCGTACTATCACACTTTTTGGGCCGACCGGTCGCCACCGTCGTTTCGGCTCTCTAAACCACCGCGAAATTTAAAAGGTGTACAACCACTTTTCTGTTCACACCCTATATAAAGGGAACCCAAATAGATTTTTAAATGTAGTAAGTACATAAGTATTTTTTTTTATAAATACAAATGGGAATGTAAAACTAAAAATTTATATTATTAAGAGGTTCATTTTGCCGCCCCCCTAAGTTGCCGTCCGGGGCAAGTGCCCCGGCTTGCCCCCCCTAGATCTGGGCCTGCAGTACGGAACGCAATGGACATTCGCACCCAGCAAACACGGGTGAAGCCGTGCAGTTGCTGGGGGCGAACAAAAATCGGCGTAAGTAAACATAGGCCTGTACGGGGTCCGGGAGTGATGAGGCAATGGGGCTGGTTATACGTCTCTTATACTCATACTCATATAAATGTGTTTTTAGCAAATGAATTTATATTTAAATAGTGATTATATAAATGTATTCTTTTTAATATTTCAACATTTTTTAATATACATTTTCTGTCATTCTGTCATTTCTGTCATTCTTTAAATGTCATATAGTTTAAGTAACTACAGTTACTATAGTTTATATATAAATTATGGAAAGGATATATGATATTCTTTCTACAAACTAAACAAATATCATTTTATAATAGTCAATGAAAATAAGTTGTTAAGTAATATTATGTCAAAAATGTTAACAAACATTTTACGGATCATACTGAACCTATTTGCATAATTTAAATATTTGCTCTTAAAAAAAGGAAATAAAAAGTTTATTTTATATAATGAAATAGTCATAATTAAGTGTCTGGAATTATACTCTTGCACTGCTCGCAAGAGGCTACTTGCATATTCTGGATGCGTGTTTAATACCTTGTATTTTATCCATGTTTTTTTAAAATCGGCATGTACGGATTCCATAGCTTGTTCACTATAAAAGCTTAGTCGTTGATTTGTTTTTAAACTGAAGTATTCTACATGAAAAAATACTGCATGGATCTCCAGATTACTTAATCTGCGCAAGCGGTCGACTTTTCCTAATAATGATTTACATTGCACTCTTTTGTCCAATTTAGAGGATCTATTTCAAACTCTTTGAGCATATGATTGAATAGTATATTAACGACTTCTAATATTAACTGTAACTCAGGTGGGGGAATAATATCAATAATCATTGTATCATCATTTTTGGCAATGATCGGTAAATGCATACAGTTTTCAAACTCTTTGGCTCTTGCCTTATTGCTTCCACTTTGTTTCCAAGCATGATATTTAGCTGCGTAGCTCGCTAAACTTCTATATTCTCCGCAACTGCCCAGTTGAGCCGCTGAGCACCACGTACAAGGAAAACAACTTGAATGAGACATGATACCTGCATACAAATTTTGGAATATGAGCATATATGTATATATTACATGTATTTATTTAAAATAAGAAGTACATGTAAGAATATTCGCTAGCTAAGTCTGTGGCTATCGTTCTATTATATTTGTTTATATTCATAATTTTTCTTACTACCTAGACTCAAAATACGTTGTTTCGTCCCCGATTTCACGGCAGAAAGTTTACGTTTCTTGCATTGGTCAAGCTATACGCGCACACTCTAATAGCGGGAGTAAAAATTTTTTAGTCGTGTGCTTAACATTCAAATTTCGTACTGCCAACATGAGAAACACAAAAATATGACAGTTTTAAACCATAATTTTGCAATTATAACAACAAATAAACAATTTATGTTTTTACTTTTTTACTTTTTATGTTGTTTTAATTTGTTATAAAGTAGTAATTTGTTAATTAAAATACAACCTTTTATTTTTACTGTATTGGCACCGCTGAATTACCATGACAACTCTACAGTTTGATTGATTTTGAATTTTAACGTCAGAATTAAATTAAACGTCAGATTTTAATTTTGACACAAGTTTTTTATATACATTTAATTTTTTCCCGTATTTTTTGCGGGTAGCAAGAAAAATAGTATACACTACACGGGCAGAAAGTGTGAGAGCCCTGAACTGCGCGCCATGATGCCCTCGGCTTCGCCTCGGGCATCATGGCGCGCAGTGCAGGAATATCACACTTTCTGCCCTTGTAGTGTAATATACTATTCTTCCGTATTAGCAATTATTCCCAGTATAATAGTACATTCTGTAACAAGTTTGGAATACAGCATATTCCGCTCGAGGAAAAATTTGACACACGAGCCGAAGGCGAGTGTGACGGTTTTACGAGAGTGGAATATGCTATTCCAAACGTGTTTCAGACATTATTTTCTCTACGACTACGCTTATATAATTTTAAACAGAGAAAAGAAACCAAGCAGTTTTTGACATTTAAGTTTTTTGTATTGTCAAACCATTTTGTGCCGTCACAATTTTATAATGTAAATTATAATAAATTTAAACAATACAAATGGTATGCCTAAATCTTTATTATAATTAAAAATAGTTATTTACAATAACTAATAAAAAAAATAACATTGTAACAAATACAAAACTAATTTTACAAGTAATCTATAAATGGTATGCCTAAATCTTTATTATAATTAAAAATAGATATTTACAATAACTAATAAAAAAAAATAACATTGTAACAAATACAAAACTAATTTTACAAGTAATCTATGTCAACATCTATTCTTTTTCTCCATTTTAAAGGTCTTTTTTAAAACTTTTTGAATCTGTCAAAACTTCAAAGCCGGTATAGTAGGTAACTGGTTTATCATTTTAATATCAAATTTATTATAATTTTGATTTGTATATTTGAAAAACAATAAATATAACTAATTTTTTGTGCCTAAACCTTAATTATACAACTTCTATTATTTTTTAATTAATAAATAATACAGTAATATTTAAATATTTTTAAATTTTTTACGTTTAGTAAACAGCCAGGAGATGTCGTTACTTGTGACCATTCTTAAACAAGAGTAGGAATATTCTCGCACAGTATTGCAGAAAAACATCCTTTCTCTACGACTACTTAAGAATAGTAACATTCTAGTGTAATTTTTGATCATAGAAAGGATGTTTTTCTGCAATACTGTGCGAGAATATTCCTACTCTTGTTTAAGAATGGTCACAAGTAACGACATCTCCTGGCTGTTTACTAAACGTAAAAAATTTAAAAATATTTAAATATTACTGTATTATTTATTAATTAAAAAATAATGGCAGTTGTATAATTAAGGTTTAGGCACAAAAAATTAGTTTTATTTATTGTTTTTCAAATATACAAATTAAAATTATAATAAATTTGATATTAAAATGATAAACCAGTTACCTACTATACCGGCTTTGAAGTTTTGACAGATTCAAAAAGTTTAAAAAAAGACCTTTAATACGTAGAAAAAGAATAGATGTTGACATGTTACAATGTTATTTTTTTTATTAGTTAGTGTAAATAACTATTTTTAATTATAATAAAGATTTAGGCATACCATTTGTTTGAATTTATTATAATTTACATTATAAAATTGTGACGGCACAAAATGGTTTGACAATACAAAAAATTTAAATGTCAAAAACTGCTTGGTTTCTTTTCTCTGTTTAAAAAGCGTTACTATTCTTACGTAGTCGTAGAGAAAATAATGTCTGAAACACGTTTGGAATAGCATATTCCACTCTCGTAAAACCGTCACACTCGCCTTCGGCTCGTGTGTCAAATTTTTCCTCGAGCGGAATATGCTGTATTCCAAACTTGTTACAGAATGTACTATTCTATGATCAAAAATTACACTGGAATGTTACTATTCTTAAGTAGTCGTAGAGAATAGTACATTCTGTAACAAGTTTGGAATACAGCATATTCCGCTCGAGGAAAAATTTGACACACGAGCCGAAGGCGAGTGTGACGGTTTTACGAGAGTGGAATATGCTATTCCAAACGTGTTTCAGACATTATTTTCTCTACGACTACGTAAGAATAGTAACGCTTTTATAATTTTCAACAGAAAAGAAACCAAGCAGTTTTTGACATTTAAGTTTTTTGTATTGTCAAACCATTTTGTGCCGTCACAATTTTATAATGTAAATCATCTCTATGATGTAAATTATAATAAATTTAAACAAATGGTATGCCTAAATCTAAATCTAAATCTTTATTATAAATAAAAATAGTTATTTACACTTACTAATAAAAAAAATAACATTGTAACAAATACAAAACTAATTTTACAAGTAATCAATGTCAACATCTATTCTTTTTCTACATTTTAAAGGTCTTTTTTAAAACTTTTTGAATCTGTCAAAACTTCAAAGCCGGTATAGTAGGTAACTGGTTTATCATTTTAATATCAAATTTATTATAATTTTGATTTGATTTGAAAAACAATATGATTTGAAAAACAATAAATATAACTAATTTTTTGTGCCTAAACCTTAATTATACAACTGCTATTATTTTTTAATTAATAAATAATACAGTAATATTTAAATACTTTTAAATTTTTTATGTTTAGTAAACAGCCAGGAGATGTCGTTACTTGTGACCATTCTTATACAAGAGTAGGAATATTCTCGCACAGTATTGCAGAAAAACATCCTTTCTATGATCAAAAATTACACTAGAATGTTA